AGGCTTTTTCAGCATCTAGTGAGATGATCATGTGATTTTTGTTTTTCAGCTTGTTTATATGGTGGATTACGTTGATGGATTTTCGTATGTTAAACCCTCCCTGCATCCCTGGGATGAAACCTACTTGATCGTGGTGAATGATTGTTTTGATGTGTTCTTGGATCCGATTTGCCAGTATTTTATTGAGTATTTTTGCATCAATGTTCATGAGGGATATTGGTCTGAAGTTCTCTTTCTTGGTTGTATCTTTGTGTGGCTTGGGGATCAAGGTTATTGAAGCCTCATAGAAAGAGTTTGGCAAAGACCCTTCTGCTTCTATTGTGTGGAACACTTTGAGAAGAATTGGTATAAGCTGTTCTTTGAATTTGTGGTAGAATTATGCACTGAGGCCATCTGGACCTGGACTTTTTTTGGTTGGGAGACTTTTGATGACAGCTTCTATTTCCATAGGGGTTATAGGTCTATTTAAATTGCTTATCTGTTCTTGATTTAGTTTTGGCAAATGATATCTGTCCAGGAAGTCATCCATTTCCTTTAAATTTTCGAATTTTGTGGAGTACAGGTTTTCAAAGTATGACCTAATGATTCTCTGGATTTCCTCAGAGTCTGTGGTTATGTGCCCCTTTTCATTTCTGATTTTGTTAATTTGCGTGTTCACTCTCTGCTGTTTGGTAAGTTTGGACAAAGGTTTGTCTATCTTGTTGATTTTCTCAAAGAACCAACTCTTCGTTGCATTGATTCTTTGTATTGTTTTCCTGGTTTCTAATTTGTTGATTTCAGCCCTCAATTTGATTATTTCCTGGCGTCTACTCCTCCTGGGGGAGTTTGCTTCTTTGTGTTCTAGAGCTTTTAGCTGTGATGTTAATTCTCTGGTATAGCTGTTTTCCTGTTTCTTCATGTGAGCACTTAGTGCTATGAACTTCCCCCCGTAGCACTGCTTTCAAAGTGTCCCATAGGTTTGGGTATGTTGTGTCTTCATTCTCATTGAATTCGAGGAAGTCTTTAATTTCTTTTTTTTATTTCCTCTTTGACCCAGGGATGGTGCAGTTGAGCATTATTCAATTTCCATGAGTTTGTAGGTTTTCTGCAATTTGTGTTGTTGTTGAATTCTAATTTTAAGGCATGGTGGTCTGATAAGATGCATGGAGTTATTCCAATGTTTTTGTAGCTGCTGAGGTTTGATATGTTGCCAAGTATGTGGTCGATTTTTGAGAAGGTTCCATGTGGTGTTGAGAAGAAGGTATATTCTTTTTTATGTGGATGAAATGTTCTATAGATATCTGTTAATCCCAGTTGGGTCATTACTTCTATTAGACCCTTTGCTTCTTTGTTGAGTTTCTGTCTGGTATTCTTGTCTAGTGGTGAGAGTGGTGTGTTGAAATCTCCCACTATAACTGTGTGGGGCTTTAGATGAGATTTAAGTTCTAATAATGTTTCTTTAACGAATGTGGATGCCTTTGTATTGGGGGCATAGATGTTCAGGATAGACACTTCATCTTGGTGGGTTTCACCTGTGATGAGTATGTAATGACCTCCTTCATCTCTTTTGATTGATTTTATTTTAAAGTCTAGTTTGTTAGATATTAGGATTGCTAGCCCTGCTTGTTTCTTGGGTCCATTTGATTGAAAAATTTTTTCCCAACCTTTAACTCTCAAGTAATGTCTGTCTTTGAGGGTGAGGTGTGTTTCTTGTATGCAGCAGAAGGAAGGGTTCTGTCTTCGAATCCATTCTGCTAGTCTGTGTCTTTTTATGGGTGAGTTAAGGCCGTTAATATTGAGGGATATTAATGACCATTGATTGCTCATCCTTCTTCGATTTGCGATGGTTGTTGTTGGTGGAATTATGGGTGGAATTTCACCCCTTTGTTCTTTTGGCTGTTGGTAGAGAGGGATTCTCTAATGCTTATGTTTTTCTGGTTGTAGTTAGCTTCCTTGGTTTGGAGTTTTCCTTCCAAAATTTTCTGTAGGGCTGGGTTAGTGGACACATATTGGTTGAATCTAGTTTTGTCATGGAATATCTTGTTTTCTCCGTCTATAGTGATTGAGAGCTTTGCCGGGTATAGTAGTCTGGGCTGGCATCCATGGTCTCTTAGTGTAGGTAGAATATCTATCCAGGACCTTCTGGCTTTCAGAGTTTCCATGGAGAAATCAGGTGTAATTCTCATAGGTCTGCCTTTATATGTTACTTGACCTTTTTCCTTAGCTGCTCTTAATATTCTTTCTTTATTCTGTATGTTTGGGGTCTTGATTATTATGTGGCGAGGGGATTTTTTGTGGTCCACTCTATTTGGTGTTCTGTAGGCTTCTTGTACCTTCATTGGCCTGTCTTTCTTAAGGTTGGGAAAGTTTTCTTCTATGATTTTGTTGAATATGCCTTCTGCCCCTTTTAAGTGGATTTCTTCTCCTTCTTCTATACCTGTTATTCTTAGGTTTGGTCTTTTCATGGTGTCCCATAATTCCTGGATGTTTTGTGTTAAGGATTTGTTGGATTTAAGGTTTTCTTTGGTTGATAAATCCATTTCTCCTAATGTATCTTCAACACTTGAGATTCTCTCTTCCATCTCTTCTATTCTGTTGGTAATGCTTGTATTCGTAGTGCCTGACTGTTTGTCCAGCTTTTCTATTTTCTGCCTTTCTTCAGATTGTGTTTTTTTTTTAGTGTCTCTATTTGAGTTTTCAACCCTTGCAGCGTTTGCATTGCTTCTTGCAATTTTCTGTTTATCTGTTCGTCCATTTGTTGCCTTTTATGAATTTTTTGGTTTGTTCTTTCTTCCATTTCTTGCATTTTTTGGTTTGCTTTTTGTTCCATTTCTTGGATTTTGTGCTTTGTTTCTTCTTTCATTTCCTGCCTTTTTTGGTTTGTTTCTTCCTCCATTTTTTTCATTTTTTGCTTTGTTTTTTCTACCATTTCTTGCATTTTTTGCTTTGTTTCTTCTTCCATTTCCTGCCTTTTTTGGTATGTTTCTTCTTCTAATTCTTGCATTTTTTTGCTTTGCTTTTTCTTCCATTTCTTGCATTTTTTGCTTCATTTCTTCTTCCATTTCGTGCCTTTTTTGGTTTGTTTTTTCTTCCAATTCTTGCATTTTTTGGTTTGTTTTTTCTTCCATTTCTTGCATTTTTTGGTTTGTTTTTTCTTCCATTTCTTTGAGGGATTTTCCAATATCCTCTTTTAGTGCCTCTATCATTTTCATGAAAGTGCTTTTAAGGTCGTTCTCTTCTGCTTCCTTCGCGTTAGAATATTGGGGTCTTGCTGGTGTGGAGTCTCTAGAATCTGGCGGTGTCATATTTGTTTTTCTGTTGCTGACTGTGTTTTTGTATTGTCTCTTTCCCATCTCTTCTCCTAGTGGGTGCAGAAAGAGCCCCTTCCTGGTCTGGGGACCAGAGTTCCCTTTTGGTGGGTGCTAGTAAGTCCAGTAATCTGGTGGTTCTTCTATACCTTGTCCAAATGCTGGTCTGTGGGTGGAGAAGAAGAACAGGAATCTGGGGTGCTTAGCCTCCTACCTGGTCCCCTGGACCCTATGCTGGGTCCTGTTGTATCTGATCCGGAACAGCTACTCCCCTGGTCTCCCTGGCTCCTGTAGTTTCCTGGTCTCTTTGGTGGGAGAGAAGATCTGGAGTCTGCGGTGCTTGGCTCCCGCCGGGATTGGGAGCTCTGTGCAGTTCCCAGGCGATCTGCAGGCTCTGGAACACAGGCCGGGAAGCCGGCCTGGCCTGTTTACCTGATGCTGCCGCAGGAACAGCTGCTTCCCTGTATTCCCAGCCTCCTCTCGTTTCCTGGACTCGTTGGTGGGAGAGAAGATCTGGAGTATGGGGTGCTTGGTTCCCGCCGGGATTGGGAGCTCTGTGCAGTTCCCAGGCGATCTGCAGGCTCTGGAACACAGGCCGGGAAGCTGGCCTGTTTACCTGATGCTCCCCCCGGGATTGGGAGCTCTGTGCAGTTCCCAGTTGATCTGCAGGCTCTGGTACACAGGCCGGGAAGCTGGCCTGTTTACCTGATGCTCCTGCTGGGATTGGGAGCTCTGTGCAGTTCCCAGGCGATCTGCAGGCTCTGGAACACAGGCCGGGAAGCCGGCCTGTTTACCTGATGATGCCAGAGGGACAGCTACTTCCCTGTACTCCCAGCCTCCTCTAGTTTCCTGGACTCGTTGGTGGGAGAGAAGATCTGGAGTCTGGGGTGCTTGGCTCCCGCTGGGATTGGGAGCTCTGTGCAGTTCCCAGTTGATCTGCAGGCTCTGGAACACAGGCCGGGAAGCTGGCCTGTTTACCTGATGCTCCCACAGGGATTGGGAGCTCTGTGCAGTTCCCAGGCGATCTGCAGGCTCTGGAACACAGGCGGGGAAGCTGGCCTGTTTACCTGATGCTCCCGCCGGGATTGGGAGCTCTGTGCAGTTCCCAGGCGATATGCAGGCTCTGGGACACAGGCCGGGAAGCCGGCCTGTTTACCTGATGATGCCAGAGGGACCTAAAAGCCACTTTTATGGTAGCACTCTCAGTCTACTTAAACAGTGGAGGATTCATGATCTAAACACATAATTATAATTGCAGGGACAAGGGTAGTAGCTGTCTATACTTCTGCTACAATACTTTCTTTATCATGTTCTCCTCAAGTGATGACAGCAATAAAGACTTCTACATACCTTCTTGCAGTACCAAAGCTGAAGTAATGATCAGATATCAGACTTGGTCAAAATTACTTGTTGTCATCTATGGATACCACAAGAGTTTCATTTATTTTCTCCTATGGAATGTCAATGTTTCCTGAAGAGAGACTTGGGTATCTCTGAACCCTTCTACCTCTTCCTCCTAGTGTAGGCCTATAGGTTAAAGCTTTGGCCATTATGAACATTTTTTTCTTTCACTGGAGTTACAGGTTCAATGGTGACACCTATTCCATTGGAAAAGTTGGAGACAGTGCTTTTGTACATATGTATCCACTGTATGACATTTCCAACCCAGGTTTTTTCATACAGTATAATTGAGACCAAATTCAGAGAGGTAAATCAAATAAAGATATTTTTATTATGACATATATTTCAGTTACACTGGGGTCTTTATACATAAGCAAGTCAGGAGGCAGATGCCTGAACAAAGGAAATGTGGCAGTGTTGAAGGGGTTGCCACCCCAAATGGCCTCGTTTACTTCTTCCAAGGAAATAAGGGACTCATGTTTATAGAAGGTATCGTTCCCCAAATGGTCAGTGCCTGAAAGAATTTGTTAGTAACCTTGGTTATTAGGCTAAGGTAGTTCGTTCGCTCCTTCCTTCTTCCTTCCTCCCTTTCTTCCTCCCTTCCTCCCTCCCTCCCTCCCTCCCTCCCTCCCTCCCTCCCTCCCTCCCTTCCTTCCTTCCTCCCTTCCTCCCTCCCTCCCTCCCACCTCCCTTCTTTCCTTCCTTGCTTCTTTTCTTCCTTCCTACCTTCCTTCCTTCCTCCCTCCCTCCCTCCCTCCCTCCCTTCTCTCTTTCTTTCTCTTTGGAACCTGATCTTTCCTTCCACATGTGTGGATAGATATTGGTTGCTATTATATTTCTAACTACAAAGTAGTCTGTGTGTCAGTGCATGTGTACACTTGTATCTCAGGTTCACCATTTATGTTTCTGTTTTACTTTCCCATGATAACACCAAAAGAAATCATCCTTACTATAATCTTCCTTATAAAGTGGTCATTTTTTATCTTCCTTGCTTGGAACCCAATTTCTCAGGATCTACTTTTCCTTCAAAGAGGTATCTCTAGTATTCTACTTCATCTGAATATTCATTTTTGTATGTATGCTAACATTTAATAGTTCATATCTTTTATAGCAAAACAGTGACAGCAAGTTTAGTTTTATAGCTCGCTAGTTATAGCAAATGGTCAATAATATGGAGAGCTTTAAATTATAGGTAGAAAGTCAGAAATATGAAAAATTTCAGGGCTTTTGATTACCCTCTAAGAGAAAGCAGTCTTGTGAACTCATCTCTTAACTCATGAGCTCTTTGCTAACTGCAGGGAGTTTATGCTGTAATTGTTGACCACTTGGCTGGCATCTAGATAGGTGAAATACTGGTTGTCATGGGGAAAAATACCCCCCACACATATTTGCCAGAAGTGCTGTGGTTAGACAGATCAATGCAAAGAATATTATTAAGATGAAAAGAATTAAAGCAAATTTTATAATTTATTTATTGACAGATTCTCTCATGCAGGATCTGGGAGCTCACTAAGTAGATCAGGTTGGTCTCAAACTCCTGATTCTACTGCCTCTGCTTTCCTAGAATTCAGAATATAAATGTGTCCAACCATGCCCAGGTCCCTGACCTCTAACTGTGAAGAAGAGAAAAAAAAAGGAAAACTGGGAGAAAATTGAGCCTCACAAAGTTTAAATGAGAAAAAAATCACTGTGCAGAAAATTCCATAAATAAACAGGCAAAAATAGGTACTATTTATTTTCTATTTTAATATAAACTATATTAAATCCTGATGTGCATTGATGTTCACAATACTCTTTTTTTGAAATATTTATATGTATTTCCCTCTGTTTCCATCAAGGAATTTTAGTTTTTAATGTTTATCTCAACTTTTAAATGTAGATTATGAAAAATGTCCATATTCTTCTGTACAATGACAGTCAGATATCACCAAAGTTCAAAAATATTCTGGAAGCTTCTGTCTTTACAAACTAAAATGGTAGAAAAGAAAAAGTGCTCCATTGATAATTCATAGTCCTCTTTTTTTGTTATTTTTTACCATTTTTCATTTTAATTTTAAATAGCTTGTTTTACATGTCAATCCCAGTTCCCTCTCTCTCCCCTCCGCCCGCACTCCCCTTCCCCCCACCCTCCCACCCTATTTATTAATCCAAGTATTCAGTGGTAGGTTCCTTGCAATTTTATTCAGTTCTTCCCGAAGGGAAGACACTGTTCTAAGTCTAAAAAATAGGATTGTCACTATTAGAAAAATGGATCAACTCAAACAAAAACAAAAAACAAAAAAAAATCAGAGACTTATTATGAAAACTTGAAAATAGAAAAACATATTGTAGGTCTTTTTAGATTGTTAGCTTTCTCTAATTACAGTGAAATATCTAGGAGAATTAGCTAATAAATGGAAAACAACACAAGAACAAAAAAACTGCTAATGACTTTAGAATATTCAGCCTGTTACTTTGGGACTTTTTGAGGTATTAGACACAAATAGTAAGGAAAACATGGTAGCGTCAGCTGTCACTTGATGAGCTAGGGAGGTAGAAAGAGAGGAGGACAATCCCACAATTCCTTTCAATGTATACTTCCAATGATTAAAGAGTACATCATTCAACATCTGAACTGCACAATTCATATATAACATGAAGGTGAAATTCAATGTTTTGCTTAAATACTTGGATATGCTTAAAATTATATAATAAGCCGGGCGTTGGTGGCGCAAGCCTTTAATCCCAGCACTCGGGAGGCAGAGGCAGGTGGATCCCAGCAGGCAGTCATAGACCAGCCTGGACTACCAAGCGAGTTCCAGGACAGCCTCCAAAAGCCACAGAGAAACCCTGTCTCGAAAAAACCAATATATATATATATATATATATATATATATATATATATATATATAATAAGAATCAAATAAGTCTTCAGCTCCAATTCTTTAGTTGGTCTAAGAGTATACAAGTTATTTCTAAATGTTAAATGTTAAATAAATTGGAATTTGGAATGCTGATTGAACTTTATATTAAAAATTCTTATAATGGCCGGGCAGTGGTGGCTCACGCCTTTAATCCCAGCACTCGGGAGGCAGAGGCAGGCAGATCTCTGTGAGTTCGAGGCCGGGCTGGTCTGACAGCTCCTGAAACAATAGAGAGAAACCCTGTCTCATAAAAATAAAAAAAATTGTTATAATGAACAGAGTTTCTTAGTGACTTATGAATCCTTTCATATTATTGGGAAAGTGTAACATATGATATATTTTCTAGGAGAAAAAAGTTGTGATGGTATAACATACCCTCAGTATGATAAATATATGTTGGTTGTCTTTAAAAAATACTCTTGATAGTTTCATATGTTTATATAATGAGCTCTAGTCATCTCCTCATTTAATCTCTCATTTTCCTACCACTCCCACTGTAGTTTTTCTTCTCAACAATTCCTTTGTTACTTTCACGACGTCTTCTTTCTGTGAGTGTGAGTTTTAACATGAATGCCCAAGCATGGAGGTAGGATTTTAGTAGAGCAAGGGCAATGTTTCAATGGCTACACCACTGATGAAAACCATACCTTTTCTCCTATCAACTACTAATTGACCAGAGTCCCTACGGAGAGGTAGAATTTCTTGGGGCCATCCTAAATCCATGATGAAATGTTGACAGGCTAAATCTTATGAAGATTTCGTGAAAACTATTAGAGTTGCAGTAAGCTCATGAGTGTAATGGAATGGATGAGTAATAAATGTTGATACTTAATTAATGAAGAAAATACTTGAAAGAGACCATAGCAAAGTAATTAACTGTGACCTTTAGCTTAGTGGGACTAGCCCAAGAGCTGTAACAATTTATAGTGGCAATTCAGTTTCCAAATTAATTTTTGAAAATGTATGTATGCTTTTGGAAGTAAAAGCAACTATACTCTCTTGTATAATATGTTTTGATGTAATACATTCTTATTCCACATTTTTTATTATGGAATTGGAGTAAAAGATCATCCCCATTGCAGACCTGTTACTTGGTGCCGGAAACAAAGATAGATGGTAAGTACACGGAGGATTTTTTTAAATCCTTAAATGATTGTAGTTTCTCGCTGTAGGGAAATTTCTCCTCCATTCTGTAATGGTTCACTGAAAGAAAAAAGATATATTAGCAAGAAAAAAATTATACTAAGATGCCAAGGATTTCAATTAAAAACAATAAATAACAATAATTATTAAAAGTTCATCTTGATTTTTCTATGTGTTTGGGGGTTGTTGTGTTGTGTATGTGGGTAGTTGTTTGTGGTAGTGGTGGTGGTGGTGGTGATGTTGTGTGTGTGTGTGGTGTGGGGATGCTGGGGTGTATAACACAGATGTCTGGGTGGGTGATGGGTGTTGGAGGAAGCCAGAAGAGGATGGTGATTTAACTTGAGCTAAAGTGACAGTTGGTTTTTGTCCCGCGCTACCGTCTCGCCAGCAAGAACGACGCAGAACACTCGGATCCTTCTGCAGTAAAGCTTTAATGCATCTTGAGAGATAGATGATCAGCTTCTTAGAGGGAGACCCCAAGCTAAGAAACCCAGCCCCTTATATAAGCCTAGGAGCTCCGAGTGAGACGTGTAGAGCCGGGATTGGTGGTTTGCACATCACCCCAGATGACGCCACGGGAGAGGCACAGCTTAAACGGTTAACTCCAACTGACAGCAGATGTCAGCGCCATCTTCTAACGGTTAACTCCAACTGACAGCAGATGTCAGCGCCATCTTCTAACGGCAATAGCGATAGCGAGGGCGGCTCCTCACATCTCCCCCTATTCATTTATTTTTGAAGCAATAGGACACCCACAACTTTGGAGTGGAGATAGAGGTCAAATCCCCATGTGCAAATTCGGAACATGTACAAAGCTCCTCTCCAGGGTCTTATCCCCAGAGAGAGCCCTGACCAGTCCGATGTCGTTTTTCTGGGGGAAGGAGATCATGACATAGAACCTTCATGCAAGATGACTTATCTCCCAGGAGAAAGTCGTTATACCGCAGACCTCTCCTGTGCAGTGCTTAGCCTTGCAACTCCTTGGGCTGCTGAAGCCTACCCACTCTATCCCGTGCAATGAGACTAGCCTCGTGGGGTGCAAGAGCTGGGAGGCCAGCGACCTATTGCTTTAACATGGTTAACCAAATGTCAGGGGAGGCTCTGTGTTCTAAGGCAGCAAGTGCTTGTGCCACCACCACTTTGTCTCTTTTGTTTGGGCTCTGAGCTTACACACCATCCAAAGCATCAACACTATTCCACAGCAGAGAACTAGGCTAAATGATCCTACCCCCACCCATTCCTTAAAATAAGAAAATGCAGATGAAATCCAGGAGGAGAGGCCTTCCATCAGAGAAAGATCCAGATGCGTCGAATTCACTTGCAGGATCGCCATTCTCAACTCACGGAGTGTCTGCTCAAACTCAAAAGTCCAATTCTGTAATAAATGTTGAGACAGAGCTTGTGACAGGTTAGCTGCTCTTGTAAAATTCTCATATTGTACTGAAGTGACACAAAGGCCAGGCAACTTTTGTTCACATCCCAATTGGGCCATCTGCCACAATATATCCAATTGTTCCTGAACCAAATTAATCTGTTGGTTTACCAACATCAGGCCTCCTTGTATCTGAGAATTGGCAGTGGCCTGTTTATCTAGGACCATGGTCACAGTGGCCGATAGTTCATTAATGGTTTGAGTTGTCTGCACAGTGGCAGAAAGTGCAAGGGCCGAGGCGGTAACCGAAGCAGTAACCGCGGCGGTGGCTATCAGGCCCACAATAATAGCAGAGATCCCAAAAATCTCGCTTTTCCCTAAACAAACTCAAATTACTTGGCGTCTCAACAGGAACTGGAACAAATCGAGGCATGCGCATTACCAAAGCAAAAGGGTGCTTAATAGCATCCCAGCATAATGCATAAAAACAATTCTAAGCAGAGCAATTTATTTCTTTCTGATTCTTACCTAAGGTATCATTACTCACAACCCAAATAAAGGGCAGCTGAATAATTAGTTCTCTTAAAAGGGGTATACTTAACATTGGAGGAGGACCAATCAGATGATCCATAGCTCTGTCCCTCACTCAGACTGTTGCCTAATGCCCCTTTCCAATCAAAAGTAATCTGTCCCTTCTCACTATATCCTCCAGCAATCATTGCCATAGGAGAAAGATCAGTACAGCTTCCATTAATTCAAAAGGATTAGCATTAGATCTTTCTGGATCCATATGAATAAAATTATCCTTTAATGAAGAAATCACAGTAAAGCACAAGCTTCCTACCAATGACAAGGTTCTCTCATCCTGAAAACTCTGTATCTGAGGATCTAAAGGCAAAAAGGCAAGCCCCAACTCTCTATTAGTTGTGAAAAATCTAGGGAACACCTGGGCATTCTGCATCACTGGCATCGGTAGGGGAAGGTAGACATGATGGCCCACCGTAACTCTCCCATCATACTAGGAACCATCATCCCGAGTAGGAGAGTCTTCATCACCCACTTGGCCTCCATCCTTCTTATTCTGGAGTTGTGAAGGAGCTCTTCGAGTGAGTCTTTCAGGGATCCACAGGGGGTTTTCTTCCTCCTGTGGAAAAACACACACAGCTCCCCTGGATCTTATAAGAATAGGATCCGGGCCTTTCCAGAGATCAGTCAAGACATCTTTCCATTTTACCATTTCTTTTGGCCTATCAGGCTCTAAACTGTGGCGATCGGCCGCAGTGTGGCCTTGGGCATCAGAGTTCAAGAAATTAAGGGTAAAAAGTGCCATGGATACAGCAACTCTTGGTACCGAGGGTAGAACATCCTCAATACTCCCCTTTTGTTTAATCAGATATGATTTGAGTGTACGATGGGCACGTTCCACAATGCCCTGTCCTTGAGGGTTATAAGGTAGGCCAGTTAGATGGGTAACATCCATTTGCCGACAAAACTGTCGGAATTTTTGAGAGGTATATGCTGGTCCATTGTCTGTTTTTAAAATTCTGGGTTTTCCCCAAGCACTCCAGGCCTCAAGGCAATGTTGAATCACATATGAGGCCTTTTCCCCTGTTAGGGGCGTGGCAAACATTACGCCAGAACAGGTGTCAACAGAAACATGAACATATTGAAGCCTTCCAAAAGAGGGAATATGAGTAACATCCATCTGCCACATCTGCAATGGTCTAATGCCACGTGGGTTTATTCCCATGTGGGGAGTAGGTAAGAATTCGCAGCAATTCTGGCATTGAGTAACAATTTCCCTAGCCTCTTTCCTGGATAGAGCAAAACGACGGCGCAAGGTCTCAGCCGTCACATGAAAGCGCTTATGGAATTCTTTTGCTGCTTGTGCATGGGTAGACAAGGCAGCGGCCACCAGCTTTGTAGCCTTGTCCGCTAAGTCATTCCCTAAGGACATGGGACCTGGGAGTCCAGAATGTGCTCGGACATGGGTAATGAAAACAGGAAATCTCCTATTTAACAAGGCAGCTTGTATCTTCTGAAAGATGTTAGCAACTCTGCTGGAGGATCTTATTATTCCAGCTATCTCAAGGAGATTAACTGCATTAACCACATAAGAGGAATCTGATACAATATTGAGGGGTCCTGGAAAAGCCTCAAGAACCTCCAGTACTATCAGACATTCTACAACTTGAGGTGAAGTTTCATTATATTGTTTAGATATAACCCTATCCTTGACCACATAAGCTCCCATACCAGTTTTTGATCCATCAGTGTACACCACAGTCCCATCTGGGAGTGGGTCTTTAGCTGTCACTTGTGGAAACACTATAGCCTGGTTTAGGGCAAACTGTAAAATTGGATGCTTTGGAAAATGATTATCAATTTGTCCTGAAAAGGAAGTAACTAAAACTGCCCAATCACTAGATGTGGCTGCCAAGGTCTGAACTTGTGCAGCAGTATAAGGCACAATCAAGGAATCAGGATCCCTGCCAAAATGTGTAACAGCTGCTTTTATTCCGCGAAGCGCGAGCTGTGCAACAGCATCAGGGTACCAGTCAATAATCTTAGCAGGGGAAGCATTTGGATGAATCCAAAGTAATGGTCCATGTTGCCACAGGACTGCAGTTGGCAATTGAGCTGTCTTAAAAACACACAGATTAAAAGGTAGTGACTCCTCAATACGTTGTAATTGTGCTTCCTGTAAGGCCTCTTCCACCATCTGTAAGGCTCGGTGGGCAGCAGGGGTAAATTTTCTGGGTGAGGAGATATGAGGCTCACCCTCCAGGAGATCGAAGAGGGGTTTTAGATCAGCAGATGGAATTTTTAAAAAGGGCCTCAACCAATTTATATCTCCCAGAAGTTTCTGAAAATCATTTAATGTTTGTAAGTGGTCTTTGCGAATTTCTATTTTCTGAGGAACTATATTTTTGGGAGTAATCATTGAGCCCAAAAAGAGGCCTGTATCTGCAATTTGAACCTTTTCTGAGGCAATCTCTAATCCCCACTGTTTTAATTCAGCCACCAGCATGGGAAAGCCTTTTGTAAAACATCTAACTCTTTGTGACAAATAAGAATATCGTCCATATAATGGATAACGATTAAAGATGTAAATTGCTTCCTAATTGGCTCCAAAGCCTCCTGCACATACAGCTGACATATTGTTGGGCTATTGGCCATGCCTTGCGGCAGTACCTTCCACTGAAATCTCTTGTCTGGTTCCATATGATTAAGAGAAGGGATAGTGAAGGCAAACCTTGGTCTATCCCGTGGGTAAAGTGGAATAGAGAAGAAACAATCCTTAATATCTATAATAATAAGCTTCCAATCTTGAGGAAGTGCAGAAAGCAAAGGAAGGCCTCTTTGAACAGGGCCAAAAAGATGCATCTGATTGTTAATGGCCCGCAGGTCGTGGAGTAATCTCCACTTCCCAGATTTCTTCTTAATAACAAAAATTGGTGTATTCCATGGGGAGGTAGAAGGCTCTAGATGCCCCAGCCGTTCCTGTTCTTGCACTAATCTTGTGACAGCCTCTAATTTTTCAGAGGATAGAGGCCATTGAGAGACCCATAACGGCTCCTCTGTTTTCCATGGTATGGGTCGTGAAGCCTCAACGGCCCCTAAATAAAACCCAGTCCTTTTCTACCCCGATTTCCGTGTTGCGTAATGGGTTTTATTCTGCCTTGTTCTTGCCTACCCAAGCCTCTACCCTTTGTATACCCCATCTTTGCCATAATGGCTGATGCCTGGGGGGAGTATTCATTAGTTAGGGTCATGCCCATGGCTTGTAACACATCCCGTCCCCATAAATTTACAGGGAGTGGCAACACATAGGGGGTAAAACATCCCTGTTTGCCCTCAGCATTCCGCCAGGTTAAGGCTGAGGCACTGATGGCAGGAGAGGACTGGTATCCAAGACCTTGTAGAGAATGAGATGAAACAACAGTGGGCCAAGACTTCGGCCACCAATGGAGTGAAATAATGCTTTTGTCTGCTCCCGTATCCATTATCCCTTCAAATTCTTTTCCATTAATTAACAATTTTATTGTAGGTCTCTCATTTAGGGGTATAGCCAGATAGGCTGAATCACTTCCAGAAGATCCCATAGCCCTTTTTTGTAAAGTGTAGGTTTCTCCATCCCCGAGGGAGGGCAGCAACACCAGTTGTGCAATTCTATCTCCCTGCTTTATAGAAAATACACCCCGAGGGCTAGAACAGAGAACTTGAATCTCCTCTTTATGATACGGGTCAACAATTCCAGGATATATAATGAGTCCCTGTAAAGTTAAGGAGCCACGGCCCAGAATAAGCCCAATGGTGGCAGGGGGCAAAGGTCCAGGGGAATGGACTGGGACCGGTTGAACATTCATTTGGGGCATGAGTAAGAAGTCGGAGGCGGCACGCAAGTCCATTCCGGGGGTTCCTCGGAAACCTCTACTGCCTCTTGATTGCTTTTCTGAAATTGGTTCCCATATTTCTGAGGGCCCTGGGACCATGGGCCCCGTGACCCGTTTTTTGATTGGGGTACCTTGGGTTCTTCAATAGGGGGCAGAAGCCTCCCTTTTACATCCCGGACTGACCTGCATTCGCTAGCCCTATGATAACCTTTACCACAACGACGGCAAAGCTTCGATTCTCTTGTTCTTTCAGGGGCTTGACAATCTTTCTTAAGGTGCCCCATTCTCCCACAATTAAAACAAGCTTTTCGACTAGATAAATCTCTACGCCTGTGCGTTTGTAAAATGGCGGCAGCTAGTCCTGCATTGGTTAGGGGTCCCCCAGCTCCCTGCACACTCTGAGCCAATCTTGTAAACCTTTGCTTTTGCGAGGGCGATAGCCGCTCGACATTCCTGGGTTGCTTGTTCATAGACAAGTTGCTCAATCAGGGGCATAGCTTGTTCTGAATCACCAAAGATGCGACTGGCGGCCTCTGTCATTCTGGCCACAAAGTCTGAAAATGGCTCTTGGGGTCCTTGGACAATCTTTGTAAGGTGTCCACTGGACTCTCCCCTTTTTGTGAGGGCCTTCCATGCTTTAATAGCGGCGGCCGACACCTGACCATAGACACCCCAGATGTAGTTGGTTTGATTAAGGGCATGTTGACCCTGACCTGTCAGCATTTCAAATGTCCACTGCCTCTGATTCTCATCTTCAGCCGTGGCATTAACTCTAGCTTGTGCCTGGGCTGCATCATACCAGAGAGCCTTCCATTCCATGTATTGTCCCATGTTGGGAAGCACTGCTTTCACTGTCGTCTGCCAGTCAGTGGGAGTCATGGCAAAATTAGCAAGCCTTTCCACCTGTAATGTGGTAAAGTTAGCATTGACCCCATAATTACGAACGGATTCGGCCAATTCTTTGATTTGATTGTAATCTACAGGGGTATGTACTCTTCCGCCTTCCGCATTCTCGAATACTGGAAAAGCTACTTGTATTTTTCTCCGTTCCTCTAAAGGTAAAAAGGAGTCAGTACCAGTATTCAGCCGAAGCTCATACTGCGGAGGCGCTGAGGGGCGTGAGCCCGCTGGATTTATAGGCGGTGGCCTCACATTCATTTTTGTTTTCAGTGGCCGGTGTCTATCAGGGTGATATCTTTCTTCCTCATACCGTGCCACCTCCTCCTCTAGACCACCTTCTTCGCTAGAATACAGAGTGTCAGAATCAGAATTATCTAGCTCCAAGGCTTCTAGCTCTACTGTAGGGTATAGACTAGATTCTGGCTTTTTCTTTTTCTTAGATTTGTTAGGGGGTGAATGATCACTCCCTTCTCTCTCTCCCCTTTCTTAACTTCTCGGGGAGGGCCTTTTTCTTAGACATGTCTTTCCTTTTGCGAGCTCCCATTCTCTCACTCCGTTCAGTTTCTGACATGCTATCCTGAACTTCCTCTAAGGTTCCCTGACTTTCTATTATAGCAGGGTGACAGGCCTCATCCTCCAAGCAGTTTTTAACTAGCTTCCAAATGGCTTTGGTACCTAAGTGGAGATCTCCTTCTGCATGCTTCCTGTCTAATTCTTTACCTAGCTTGTTCCATGAGGCCACAGTGAGGGACCCGGAACAAGCATACCATGGTGCCACTCTATCTACCTCCTTCACAAAATTTTGAAGTGTTCGTGGTGCAATTTTAAGATCTCTTTGTTTTAGCACAGTCTGTAGGGCAGTAACCACTGACTGTGACAACCCCATCGCGCTAGCGGCTTATCTAAAAAACGGCGCTCAACTCCGTTACCAGACTGACAGCACCAGACTGACAGCACCAGACTGACAGCACCAGACTGACAGCACCGTTCTGTCAGCACCAGCCACGATGAAGGAGAAGGACAAACAGGACTAGCACCAAAGCCTCCACTGACCCGTCCCACGGTGATGACAAACTAAGGCCAAAGTCGAGAAAGGGGGTATTCAGGATAAAGCATACCTCTCTGAACTTACGTCCCTGCAGTTCTGAATCTGCCCCGTCTTCTGAGGGGTCTCCCGCGGCGCCGGCGATGTTGAAGAGTTCCCGGGTTTCGGCACCAGATGTCCCGCGCTACCGTCTCGCCAGCAAGAACGACGCAGAACACTCGGATCCTTCTGCAGTAAAGCTTTAATGCATCTTGAGAGATAGATGATCAGCTTCTTAGAGGGAGACCCCAAGCTAAGAAACCCAGCCCCTTATATAAGCCTAGGAGCTCCGAGTGAGACGTGTAGAGCCGGGATTGGTGGTTTGCACATCACCCCAGATGACGCCACGGGAGAGGCACAGCTTAAACGGTTAACTCCAACTGACAGCAGATGTCAGCGCCATCTTCTAACGGCAATAGCGATAGCGAGGGCGGCTCCTCACAGGTTTTGTGTTGCATAATGGAGACACAAGCTCTTAATCATCATATCATCTCTCTAGCTCCATCAATAATCTAACAATGTCTGGGTGATTCTACAACCCTTTACATAGGTTTAGGTATCTACAAGAAGGCAGGCAATTGTGGAAGCTAATAAAGTGTTAGGGTCATTGAAATGGTCAAATGATAGTCAATGATCCGACCCAAGATTCTTTCCCACTATGGATGAATTGGGGACTTTAATGTGAACAAACTACCACATGTAGTTTTTCAGAGAAATGCTCAGTGTGGCCTGATGGCTGTGGTCCTCTTTTTTGTTGATATTCTAACAGAGAGAATTTAAAATAATTCTACCTCTTTTAGAAGGTTAGCCTGTGAGTTATAACAACTAGGGGCTAAATGTTAAATGAAACTTCAGAGAGACTTTGATTTTCCTTTTTTTGTAGGGCAGCTTTACGGCCGTCCAGTTTTTTTACATTCAAAGTGCTCAGGATTTCAAAGCACTATACTTTGACGTGTCATTTTCTGAGCCTCAGGAATATCTGTTTTTATATTAAGCCAAATATATTATGAGGCCAAGGCAAGAGTCCATGGGGATGAGATGTTCACTCGTCCCTGGATTGTCATTGAGTTCCATGACTGTTATAACCTTCTTTGGGGAATTGGTGGACAAGAAAAATAATACATATGAGATGAAGGAAGTAGAAGCTACATTTTCTCTGTCAGATTTTCCCAGGTCCTGCTTATATAACCTTGGGTTAGTAACTTACTGTATTTGTCACTTGGATTCCTCATCAATAAAGTATCAAACATTAGTGTTAACTCACTAGAAAAGAATGAGAATCAAAAAATTGTTATTCTATTTGAGGGACCCCGAACTGCAGGACCAGTATCTATCCCTGGTACATGAGCTAGCTTGTTGGAGCACATTCCCTGTGGTGACATGCCAATGTCAGCCTTAATTCAGGGGGGAGGTTCTTGGTCCTGCCTCAAATTATTGTGCTGGTTTTGTTGACCCTCCATGGATCCCTTACCTTATGAGAGGAGTAGATGGAGGTGTAATGGGGGGGGGGTGAGGGTGGGTTGGAGGGAGAACTGAGGTTGAATGCAAAATGAAATTAAAAAATAAACTCATAAAATTGTTACTTGTTAGCTACTTAATCTCAAAGAGTTCTGTGCATGATTTGACATGATTTGATTAGCCAAATACTGAGCATCTTCATGGATAAAGTGTATGCAAAAAGGACGAAGAAGCTGGAGTCTGCTGTTGTTTAGGATGCAGCGGCAATAGCGATACTTACTTGATTGGTGTCCTCATTCTGGTTACTTTTCATACACACCCCAGCCAGTGTGTTGGCATTCTCACACTTTTAGTTGTCTGTCCCCCTCATTAGGTGTATTAGATCCCGCAAAGCCATTGTCTTTGGAAATGCCCTCACAACTTCCACAAGATGTGTATTTTGTTAGTTGCCTAGCCATTCCCTGACATATTTAAGTTTACAATGAAAATTAATCTTCACAATCTCTATTCCTGAGTTTGGCTTCCTAATTTCAATTCCATGTATTTGTGCCTCACATGGATGACTGCCATAGTTTACTTATTGCATATCTTGTATCTACTCTTCACATAAAATGATCCACTGAACTTCAAAGATATTCATATATTCATCTCCAATGCTGAAAATTTACTATCACATTGTAAAATTAGATATCTGCTATTATAAACCTTTCAAGTACTTTTAGTAACTTCTGTCTTGGCCACCAAGAGACTGTCTTCATCTGAAAATTCTTTTAATGTCATTATTCTCTTTGACCTTGAGAGATCATAGGAATGGTTCTTCCTATCAGTCCTCCAAATGTTTCAGCTTCTCTGCAGCCCTTCAGAATTTCCTTGAAACAGTATATATCCTATTTGTTTAGGTTAAGATATGTTTCCAAAAAGATGTGTTGGCATCATAAATTTTGGTGCCACGAATGTGACATTTCTGTAAATATGTTATTTGAAGGTGTATTTAAAATACATTGTAATTAGGATGGACCGAACTCTCTTGTGTCTATTGTCTTTATGATGATGGGAGATTTTGCCACAGAAACACACTCATACATCAGAAGTTGACTGGGCTGTTAATGCTCTGAGCTTAGTACCCTACATATGACATGTTAACAGAGAAAGCAAAAAAGTAGAGATAGAGCTGCCATATGGAACTTTTCTGAACTTCAGTCTCTGAGTGTAGGTCACATGATGTTCTTGTGCTAAGCACTTTCCTATACATGGGGAAAAGGAATGTTGCATGTAAGGGTTAATATCAATCTAAAAATAGGTTTCACTAAATTTTTACAATTTCACTGCCATTCAATTAATTTCTTTGCCTGTTTTTCATTTCTCCATGATTGTTTACCCTTCATCATACTTAAATACAAAGTACTTATGATTTTCCTTGAAGCTGGATATTCAACTCAAGACCCAAAACAATCTGAAAATCATGTCATATAAAACTTTTCTTAAATACTTTTATTACAGTTTTTTTCTAGTATGTCTTTTGTTATAGAGGTCAAAGCTATAACCTTTATGATGGGTATGGATAATAATTGGTTGTATGCTGTCCTCTACAATGTAGAGGTACAAGGAAGAATGTCACATGATTATACAAAGATAAAAATTAAATATACTGCCCAATTCAAAGAACATTTGATGGGTGATGTCATTCTGTAAATCTGTCTCTTATTGGTTGTTGAATAAAGTACTGTTGGCCAATAGGGAGGCAAGATAGGTGGAACTAGGAGTCAAGGAGGATTCTGGAAGAAGCAGAGTCAGACACAATGTAGACCGCCAGAGGAGTAAGAAATGGCTTTTTGTCTTTTTGACTGTACCCTTTGCCTTACAGAAGCTTGTTAGTTTCAGAAGGTCCCATTTGTTAATTGTCGATCTCAGTGCCTGTGCTATTAGTGACCAATGGAACCGAATCAAAAGCTCTAATTTTAACCCACACACCTATGAACACTTGATTTTTGACAAAGAAGCTAAAACTGTACAATGGAAAAAAGAAAGCATCTTCAACAAATGGTGCTGGCATAACTGGGTACTGGTATGCAGAAGACTGCAGATAGATCCATGTTTATCACCTTGTACAAAACTTAAGTCCAAATGGATCAAAGATCTCAACATAAATCCAGCCACACTGAAACTTTTAGAAGAGAAAGTGGGAGATACTCTTCAACGAGTTGGTACAGGAGACCACTTCCTGAACATAACACCAGTGGCACAGGCACTGAGATCGACAATTAACAAATGGGACCTTCTGAAACTAAAAAGCTTCTGTAAGGCAAAGGACACAGTCAAAAAGACAAAAAGGCAGGCCACAGAATGGGAAAAGATAGTCACTAACCCTACATCTGACAGAGGGCTAATCTCCAAAATTTACAAAGAACTCAAGAAACAAGTCTCCAAAACACCAAAGGATCCACTAGAAAGGTGGGGTACAGAGCTAAATAGAGAATTCTCAGTAGAGGAGGCTAAAACGGCCAAGAGACACTTAAGAAAGTGCTCAACATCCTTAGCCATCAGGGAAATGCAAATCAAAACAACTCTGAGATACCATCTTACTCCTGTCAGAATGGCTAGAATCAAAAACACCGAAGACAATTTATGCTGGAGAGGAGAGGATGTGGAGAGAGAGGAACACTCCTCCACTGCTGGTGGGAGTGCCAACTCATACAGCCTCTTTGGAAATCAGTATGGAGATTCCTCATGAAAATGGGAATTAATCTACCACTAGACCCAGCAATTCCACTCTTAGGCATATATCCAAATGAGGCAAGTTCATACAACAAGGGCATCTGCTCCACTATGTTCATAGCAGCATTATTTGTAATAGCTAGAACCTGGAAGCAACCTAGATGCCCCTCAACTGAAGAGTGGATAGAGAAAATGTGGCACATTTACACAATGGAGTATTACTCAGCAGAAAAAAACAATGGTATCTTGAAATTTTCAGGGAAATGGATAGCACTGGAAGAAACCATCCTGAGTGAGGTAACCCAGTCGCAAAAAGACAAACATGGTATGTACTCACTCATATATGGATTTTAGACATGGATCAGGATAGTGCCAGTCTGCACTTCCACTGATAGAGAGTCTGGGAAACAGGAAAGAACCTAAAAGATATGCATATATGCATAGTACCCAAGAGAAGAGGATTGAGACAAGATCCTCTGAATGGATGGGGAACACGGCAAGGGGTGGGGGGGAGTGGGACCTGGGAAGAAGAGAGGGGGTGAAGAGGAAGAGAGTTGGTCATGGGGGAACAGGAAGTTGAGGGGTTGGAGGTAGAATAGGGGGAAGAGGGAATCATAGGATCGAATACAGATCAGGCACCAGAGCGACCTCGAGTGATCTAAAGGGATAACACCAATTGGCAAGCTAAGCAATAGTGGAGAGACCACCTCAAATGCCCATTCCTGATAATGAACTTGATGTCTATAACCATCCGGGAGCCTTCATCCCGTGACTGATGGAAGCAGAGGCAAACACACAATCACTGAACTGAACCCAAGGAACCCAGTGACAGAGAGAGAGGAGTAATGAGCAAATTGGCAAAGAATGGGCTGGCAAAACCAGCAGAAACAGCTGATCTGAACAGGGGAGA